GGCGGAGGGGGTGGCCGGGGGGGCGGCCGGGGGGCGGCCGGGGGGGGGGCTGCCAGGGCGCCCAGCGCCCCAACAGCTGCCCGCCGGCCTGGCCCCGCTGCGCCACGTGGGGAGCCATGTCCAGACCCCGCAGGGGGAACCTCACCAGCGTGGTGAGTTTGTGCCGGTGCTCAGCCACCTGGCGAAAGCGCTTGAGGTGGATGATGAGGATGTCAGGCAGCGTCCAGAGGCTCAGCTTCACCGTGCCCTGCTGGGGCACCTTGCAGTGCGGGCAGCGCCAGGCGTCGTCCGGGGCCAGCTGGGGACACCACATGCCACGGCCACCTCCCTCCCCAACACCCCCCTGCCACCTCCAAAGCCACCCCCAGCACCGCCAACTGGCAGGGCTTGCCCTCAGCGGCGGCTCTGCCGGGTGCGGGCAGGGTGCGGGCAGGGTGCCCCGTACCTGCTCCTCCTTGGTGTAGAGCTGGAAGCACTCGTCCAGCGTGCAGCTGTGCTGCTGCCGGTGCGCTTGCTGCTGCAGCCGCACGCTCTCCGCGTCCTGCACCACCTCCTCCTGGATGTTGCCGAAAAGGCTGCACGGGACGGGACGGGACACAGGACACTGGGGTGGTCAGGGAGGGTGACCTGCGTGCTGGGGTGTCCCCCCACCCTGGGTGCAGGGGACTCACCGCTCTTTGGTGCTCACGTCCCACTCCACCGTCAGCTTCACGTGGGGAGGGCCACCCGCCCCGCTCAGCTGCAGCGCTCTGGGGGCGAGGACGAGGTGAGAGGTCCCCCAAAACCCCCCTTCCCTGCGGGGCCACCTCCTTGCCAGCCCACGGTGGCAGGCAGGGATGGCCACCACCTCCCCGAGCAGCACCCATGGTGGGGACATGGGGCTGGGGACCCAGCATAACCACCCACAGGGACACCATGGCCACCCACAGGGACACCACTGGCCACCTCCGGGGAACGAGGGGACAGTCTGGGGACAATCCCATCCCTGCAGGTGCCCTTACCTGTCGATGGCGGGGTGGCAGAGAGGGCGGGGGTCCTGCGGGGACAGGTAAGCGCAGGGGGCCGAGCCCCCAGCCAGGCGGATGCGGAAGAGGGCTCCCGCGCCCTGCAAGGGGAGAGGGGGCTGTGGGGCTGGTTGGGGGGCAAAGCCCCCCCCCCCCCGCCATCACGTGGGAGGAGCTGTGCTTTGTGACATGGGACAAAAAAACGCCCCCAAAATCAGATTTCTTTGGTCCCTGTGGCCGGGCTGGCAGGGGACACCCGTGGGGATGGGGAGGCAGGGCTGGGGGACGAGCTGGCCCACTGGCTGCAGTATGGCTGGGGGGCAAAGGGGCAGCACGGGGACACCAGTGCCCGTGGGACGGTGGCACCCGGGTGCTGGGAAGGGTGGTTGGGCTGGGGCAGCTCTGCCGTGGGAGCTGGGTGGCACTGTGACCGCCCACAGTGATGCCATTGGCCAACTGTAGTGACTATGCAACCACCCACAGGGCCACCATGGCCACCCATGGAGACACCATGGTCACCCACAGGGCCACCACGGCCACCCATGGAGACACCACAGCCACCCACAGGACAACCTGACCACCCATGGAGACACCATGGCCACCCACAGGGCCACCACGGCCACCCATGGAGACCACACGGCCACCCCCGGGACAAC